CCTTATAGTCGTGAAAATACGGTATAGCAAAACTAAAAAGCTCCTCAAAAGCATTATTAAAGCTTAAGTCTGCTGAGATTAAAAGTTAAACGGTCGCGTAATAGACTTTAAAGAAATGTTAGACTAAACACTGTGAGGGTGGATGCTTGGTGTATATAATCCTATTCTACCATGATCAAATGTTCTTTTTATTTTGAGCCAAAATAGAATTTCAGCACTGGGTGGAATTAACAAACATAAACAGATTAATCAATGATCAATTCATTATGTCATTTATACTCAAACTGTAGAGTAGAATAGCACTGCAATTACTTTTATAGTATTAATATAGATGTTTACTCCTGTCTATAAGCTTTAGCTTATGCTTCAGTGAACACCTGCCTTCACACTATATTCACTGTTACAGTCATATTGCTCTCACATGTTTTTTTGCATTATTTCACACTTAAGCTTTTTTTTTTTTTTTTACCATTTCTACAATACTGAAAGATGCTAACTTGCTAGCCATTAGTTGCTTCCTTGTGTACCCCATGAGCACATGCGCAGTGTCATACCTTAGCTGTTACTGTAAATATACACAAGGGGCTTTTGTTACTAACAGAATATGCCAGCAGGACACAGTAATCATTCAGAAAAATCTGAATATGCAACTACAGTGAATTACCTGCATATAAATTTGAAAAACAAATTAAAAAGAGCATAACTATATAACTTTAAAGGATCAAGAAGATATCATTATATGACGGTATCAGTCAGAAGAAGAAAAAATCTTTAGCATTACATTTTTACATAGCATGGGAAAGACAGTCACTCATTATCTAATAAAAAAATAGCAAAAAACACTTTAGGACCAGGAGGTTTCACTGAAATCATTAAACAACTACTTAGTGACGCTGCCAGGAGGCCATCAGCAACACTGAATAAAATGTGTGACAAATACACGTCCAGATCAAGGAAGTAGTTCTTCCAAAGTAAACACCCCGGCCTGGCTTCAGGCTCCCAGCACTTTTGTTTCCTACAGTCTGATGAAACCAAACATTAAACTTTGACCCACAATTTCCCCAAACCAATTTCGAAAAACAAGAATGTCATTATTAAGCACCAGATCATTTGGATAAAAAAGCCATGGGTATCTACTAGGGCTAAAATAATCGGTTAACAAAAAATGTTTATCTTTAGCTGCTGCTTAGAGCTGAGCTGAAGACAAAGAGAGCTTTGAATGATAGTGAATCGCAAAGAGATGCTCTATACTTCAAATAAAAACAAAACAAGAATGCCTTCTTAGGAAGACAATGTAGGTTTTGGAATAGCTAGGGTTAGTTTAAATTATAATTTTTTAGATAACAAGGTTTAAACAGGATTGCATTGACTGGAGAGCTACTTACTCTTTGCCAGCCAACCATTACCTGTTTATGTTTCA